GGGGGGGGGGGGGTCACGTGACGGTGCTGCTGTAGTCTACCCAGAAGCACCTGTGGCCTTTCACATGCAGACAATGAAAGGTGCTACAGAGTGAGGAAAGGTGTTCCAGGCTCCCAGCTTCTCTCAGCCCAGTGGCTAGGCCTGACCAGATCAAGGGCAGAGACTGGGTGTGACAGATAGCTGGAGAGCTTGGCTGGGCAAGGCTGCCAGAGTTCCAGAGACTGCCAGGCCAAGGAAAGTTTTCTGTCAGATGCCAGGCCAAGGCTGTCATGGGAAGGAGGCATGAGCTCTGAGCTTTTACAGAATGGGAACCATGTGCATTGGTACACTGGCCATGAAGACTGGCAGGAAGTTAGTTAGAGAACTAACTAAGAAGTTAGAACAGAGAACTCAGGCTCTTGAAATTTAAACCAAACTCTCTTCTAGGTTCCCTGGACTATCAATGCATATCTGTATGCTTCAGTGCCTCTTTTCCCTGCTCTGGTAATAGAACATTTTCCAGGGACTACTACAAGTGATCTCTCTCAGGAGTTTGGCATGGTGCCAGGGGATGAGTATAGATGTTGGAGACAAACTTTGGTCTGAATCTCAGCTCCACTACTTACTAGCTGTGTGACTCTGGGAAAATCACTCCACTTCTCTGAATGTCCATTTCCTCAACTATAAAATGGGCGTAATGATAATAAAATGATGCCTACTTCCAAGAGATGCCAGAAGGGTTAGGTATAAATACATTTCAGAAAACCTAAAAAGGGCTGGGATGGAGCCAGGCTCAATACATGTTAGTTTTCTTATGCTGCAGAAGAGACAAGTCTTAAAGGAAATTGATCAGAAGATTAAACAGAGCTGTAGGTGGCCAACCTCCCAACTAACACATCCCGAGTATCCATTGTCACTGGGCTAGATGCACTTTTTCTAAAGACCCTTTATAACTCCAAACCCTTCCCCTATCCAAAATAGCAAGTGGGTTCAGTAGCACTGTGGGCTCAAAGTGAAGCTAGGGGAAATATCAGGGTGCTCCCTGCAGCCTGCACTCATGTGTGACTCAATTGCTGGCTATGGCTACTGGCACCTGAGGCCATTAAAGTTAGGGTTCCCTGGAGAAAGATGGCATAAACGTGAGAGAGGATACTCCTAGTTTGAAAGGTGCCTGTAAGACTACAAATGGCTCTGCAGACAAAGAAACAGCAGGTCCAACCACTTACTTTAGCTTTATGGCTAAGGGAATGGTGTAGAAGAAGACGTTGATCTGAAACACACATACAAAGAAGAGGCTGAAGTGCTCAAACATCTCCGCGAAGAAGTACCAAAAAAGACCGATGTTTGGAGTGAGATCTGGAACAGAAAGTCTGGAATGAAGAAAACAAAGAGGGAGAAAAAAAGAGAGCCAAATTTTAAATGGTCTGCCTTGACCTGGTTTTCTCCTAAAGAATTTGGTCACTACTGGGCAGCCAAAGATGACTTTGTCCCCACAGTTATCAGGATGTGAGGGGCCCTACAGGCACCCTGGATATAGGTAATTAATAAAAACAAGAGGCAGAGAAACAGAGAATGATAACCCATAACAAATATCAACTAAACCAAATTCTGGCATGCATCAAAGATCTGAAATGAGGCAGGATTTGGGCTAGAAGTCAAAAGACCAGCCCCTCTTTTACTGCCTAAAATATATACATTTAAATTTAGGAGATACCCAGGATATACAAGAGAGGAATGGGTTTTAAACAGACAGTATCTATTTGGGGCATTCCAAAGACTTGCCCAGAGGAGCGAGCTCAAAGATCCTGCTGCTCCCCATTCTTGCTCCACATCCTGACAACAGGAACCAGAGACTGAGTGCCTGACACTACAGTGACTTCTGGAGTCTTAAGGAAGCACTGGCAGGTTCCAGCTAGGATCCCAGATCTCATTTGAGAAATAAGGGTTTCACTGGAAAACTTCTGTCTAGTTCTATTAGATAAAGATTGGTTGCAAATCTGGCTCTTCTAAAAATTTACATTATATGTCTTATTTTCAAAAACACAGAATTGGAACTGATGTCAATTCACGATTTTAAAAGGGCAGTAAGTGGAGCATGAAGAAGGAAGAAATAGGCAATGGCTCATGGTCAGAGTGCACTGACCAAGGCCTCCACCCAGAGCAATTCTTTGCCTCCTGCTGTGACTACATTTCCTTTTCTGTGAAATGAGGTAAAGAACACAATCCTGTGGGCCAGCAAAAACCAGGAAAAGCTTTTCACTGGCATTACAAACTCTTACTTAAAGCTCAGCATGAAGAGCTACAAGTTATGCATAGCCAGGATTTAACACAAATTAGCAGTCCAGAATTCCAAAGGGGAGTCTGCCCCTCCAGATCCCCTCCCCACCCTGACAGATTTAACTGTCTATCACCTCAATGGGCTGTGAGGTCCCTGAGGCTTGAGCAGCGACCTTCCTGTCCTCCTCAGCATACCACACAAAGAGTACTGGGAAACGTCTGCAGAATTCATATTCCATTTTTATTTTCTCTAAAAGTTTGACACGTGGGAGGTGGCTTTATTTTAAAACTGTCAGAGACCCTCTTGCAGTAGAGGAATGTATCCATTCCTATTTAGGACTGAGCCAAACCCTTCCAGGCAAAGGCTGGTAGTTGCTTCAGATGTTCCTAGAGAGTGCTCTTTAATCTCACAGGATCAAAGGTACGCACTAGATCTGTGGTTCTCAAAGTCTGCTCTTCCCTGGACCAGCAGCATCAGCATCACCTGAAAACTTGTTAGAAATGTAAATTCTTGGTTCCTATCCCAAATTTACTTAATCAAAACCTCTAGGGGCGGGGCCCAGAAATCTGGGTGTTAATAAGCCCTGCAGGTGTTTCTGGTGCACACTGAAGTTTAAGGACCCCTGTATCTTGATGTTCCCTGTGGTTGTGCACCCTCTGATTCCACCTGGAGTTGTGAAAAACAAATTAGCTTCCAGAGTTTTCTAATGAAGTCATTACTTACATGAAGCCATATACTGCAGGGATGAAGTCCCAGGAGCTGAGAAGGAAGAAGGAGAGGCAAATGATTACCACTAGGCTTCCCACGTACATCATGGCATACTCCCAAGAGAAGATCCAGAAAGCTTTGCTCTTCACTTTCACAGGTATATACTGCCGCTAGGAGAGAGGGCAAAATGGTACATTTAGGGATGTCAAGGACAGAAAGAAGTTATCAGCTTAAACTTCAAGATCCCTTCTGCAAAGCACAGGACACAGAAAAATGGAAAATCAAAGGACTGAAAAGGATTTCCTTGTGTTAAACCCTAACCAAAAGAAAACAAGTTTAATTATACTATTACCAGATAAAATAAACTTTGATGTAAAAAGTATTACAGAAATTAAGATGTTTCATAATGATAAAAGGTGCAATTCATCAGAAAGATGTAACAGCTTTAAACCTGTATGTACCTAATAACACAGTCTCAAATATATAAAACAAACATGGACAGGGCTACAAAGGAAAAACGGACATAACCATCATCAGTAGATAATTGATAGATCACAGAGACAACAATCAGGAACCAAGTAGGAAATATGAATAACACATTTTCTTTTTAAAGGTTTAAAAAAGTTTATTTATTTATTGGGCTGGGCGGGGGGAGGGAAGGTGCAGAGAGAAAGAGAATCCCAAGTAGGCTTCACTGCAGCACTGAGCCTGACACAGGGCTCAATCCCACAAACCATGAGATCATGACCTGAGCCAATTCAAGGGTTGGACACTTAACCAACTGAGCCACCCAGGTGCCCCTGAAGAGCACACTTTTAATAAATTTGTAACTTCTTTGAGAATGAGTCAGGGAAAAAAAAAAAAAAAAAAAAAAAAAAAAAAAAAAGAAAAGAAAAAAAATCTGTATATCCAGATAGATACAGAAAATGTGGCAAAATGGTAACTGGGTAATCTAAATAAAAGGTACTTATTATACTAGTCTTTCAACTTTTCTAAAGCATGAAAAAATTAGGGAAAAACTAATTCAAGAAGAAACAAAATTTGAATGGTCCTATAAGCATTTAAGAAACTGAATTAGTAATGAAAAATTTTCCCATAAAGAGTAGGCCCTAAGCAAAATAAGTCAGGCAGAGAAAGACAAATACCATATGATTTTACTCATATGTGGAATTTAAGAAACAAAACAGATGAACACAGGGAAAGGAAAGGAAAAATAAAACAAGGTAAAAACAGAGGGAGGCAAACCATGAGAGACCCTCAACTATAGAGAACAAACTGAGGGTTGCTGGAGGGAAACTGGGTGAGGTGATGGGCTAAATGGGTGATGGGCATTAAGGAGGGCACTTGTGATGAACACTGGGTGTTATATGTAAGTGATGAATCACTAAATTCTACTCCTGAAACCAATACTGCACTATATGATAATTAACTTGAATTTAAATAAAAACTTGGAAGGAAAAAAAAAAAAAAGAGCAGGCCCAGCCAGTTTTACAGGAAAGTTCTACCAACATTCAAGGTGATTCTAATCTTACATTAATTCTTTCACAGCAAATATCATAAACTTGATACCAAAACCATTTACCAACACGAATACAAAAATACTAAATGAAGTATTACCTAATATATTCAGCAATATATGATAAAATTGGGTTATAACTAGGTTGGACATATTCAAAAATCAAGGTTAATGCAACGTAAGAAAAGCTATTAATATATGTATCACAAACAGTTTAAAAGTAAATCATATTACTCAGCCATCAAAAAGAATGAAGTCTTGCCATATGCAATGACGTGAATGGATCTAGAGTGTATTATGCTAAGCAAAATAAGTGAGTCAGAGAAAGACAAATACCATATGATTTCACTCATGTGTGGAATTTAAGAAATAAAACAAGATGAACATAGGGGAAGGAAGAAAAAAGAGGCGGGAGGCAAACCATAAGAGACTCCTTTTTTTTTTTTTAATGTTTATTTATTTTTGAGACAGAGAGAGACAGAGCATGAGCGAGGGAGAGGCAGAGAGAGGAGACAGAATCTGAAGCAGGCTCCAGATGTCAGCACAGAGCCCGATATGAGGCTCCAACTCACGGGCCATGAGATCATGACCTGAGCCAAAGTTGGATGCTTAAATGAGCCACCGAGGCGCCCCAAGAGACTCTTAACTACAGAGAACAAACGAAGGGTTGCTGGAGGAGAGGTGGGTGGGGGATAGGCTAAATGGATGATGGGTATTAAGGAGGGTACTTGTTGTGATGAGCACTGGTGTTTCATGTATGTGATGAATCACTAAATTCTACTCCTGAAATCAATATTATACTATATGTTAACTAACTAGATTTAAATAAAAATTTGAAACATAAAAAATTCATTAATTCAATGCAATAATGCAATCCCAGTAAAAATGCCAACAAGCTATTTTATGGAATTATACAAGATTAAAGTTTATATGGAAATATAAACATGCAAGGAATGAAGTACTAATACATGCCACAACAGAGATGAACCTTGAAAACATCATGCTAAGTGAAATAAATCAGTCACAAAAGACCACATATTGTATGATTCTATTTATATGAAATGTCCAGGACAGCATATAAAGGCAAAAAGCGGAATACTGGTTGCTTAGAGCTAGAGGGGAAAGGGGAACTGGGGAAAAACAGAGAGTGACTTAATGGGCATAGGGTTTCTTTCTGGGTTATAAAAATGTTGTAGAATTGATTGTGGTAATGGCTGCACAACTCCGTGAATACACTAAAAATCACTGAATTGTATACTTTAAATAGGTCAATTGTTTGCTATGTAAACTATATCTTGATAAACAATAAAAGCTGTTAAAAGAAAAACACCATAAATAAGTCAAAAGACAAATGAAAAACTAGAAGAAAATATTTGCAGACAAAGGGTTAATAATACTTCTAATATATAAAGGATTCTTCAAAATGGAGAAAAAATAGATCAAAATGCAACAGAAAAATGAGCAGAAAAAATGAATAGACAATCCACAAATATGAAAAAATGTTCAAACTCACTCATATTTTAAAAAATGCAAATTAAAACAACACTGAAATACCATTTCTCAGAATCAGACTGGCAAAGATTTTTTAATGTGACAACACATTCTATTAGCAAGGCTGTGGAAAAATAGGCAATGTCATACATTCTTATGTCATACATAAGAATAAAAAATTATACAATCCTTATGGAGGGAAATTTAAAAAGACCTAAAAAAAAAATAAACTACATATATACTTACCTTTGGATCCAGTAATTCTATTTCTAGAAATCTACCTTGAAGATATCCCTCCAACAACACAAAAATACATATATGCAAGGTTACTCATTAAAGCATTAACTATGATAGCAAAATACTGGAAACGATCTAAATTCCCATACAAAGGAGAAAAGTTGAAGAAACTATGGTACGTCCATACAATGAAGTCCTATGCTGCTGTAAAAAAGATCTCTATGTATCAATATACAGTGACTTCCAGGAAATAATAGTAAAAAAAGCAAAGCACAAAAGAGTACCTAGAGTATGCTATCCTTCATATGCGAAAGAAGGAAATACACGTGTCTGCTCATTTGTGCAAAGAAATACAAGAAGGATAAACCAGAAACTAAAACCAGTTACTTGGGGTGACAGAGGAAGAAGGAAAAAGAAAAGAACAAGATAGCAGGGATGAGGGCAGGGTAATACTTCTCTGAATATGTTTTTTGTATAGCTGATTCTTAGAACCACAGCAATATTTCTTAGTCTCTTCACATACCCCCCACCAAAAACCAAAAAACTAAAATCGACCAAGGTGTAGGGGAAATCCAAAATTAATACAAGCAGTAATAAATGAGCCTAACTATATGTCAAATTAATAAGATACCTACATTGAAGGGTTACATGGGAGAAGAAAACTAACCTGAGTGACTTTGAGAAATAGTAACCTGACAGAATTCTGTAATGCTAAAGACAAAAAGAACTACACATACGTGTTATAATCAAGTCAGTAGACATATTTCTTTTTTTTAAAAAGATTTATTTATTTATTTAAGTAATCTCTACATCCAAAGTGGGGCTCGAACTCATCACTCCAAGATCAAGAGTCACATGCTCCACCGACAGAGCCACCAGGCGACCCAGTACATATAATTCTGACCTGGGTATTTCTCACAGAAATTATAGAACCACTTTATGTTGATTTTAGAACTGAACATATTAGCAAATATACTGCAGATAATGAAAGTTGGGCTTCCAACCATTAGAGAAAAATTATACACAAGGAAAAGGGACAGACTAAAGTGAACCCTTTGGTGTCAGACTGGACTCACTGGTATCAGTGTAAACAGTATCAGTATGAAGAGATAAGGAGAAAAAGAATTACAGACGTAGGGGCGGGGTTAGTATACATACATGTATTTCACAGCTGTCTGTTAGAAGCAATGCCGCCCAGATAACAATAAGCAGACCTATAATCCTCGGTTTCTCAATAACTTTCACCAATAAAAGCAACCAAGAGTCCTTGAAGAATTGATTCCAGGGCTGGAGCAGGGAAAATACAAGATGAACCCGGAACATCTTGTGACACCAGAAAGAAAGGAAAGAAAGGCTCAAGAAGACAAGGCTAGTCAAAAAAACACAAAAGCCAATCTAAAAGAGCCCCCAATGGTCAAAGCTAGAAAAATTGTAGCAAAAAGCTAGTATTAATATTAGATTTTTCTTTTTTGAGGTGAAATTCACACACCACATGTTTAACTATTTTAAAGTATGCAATTCAGGTTCTTCAACAGTTGCCTTGAAAGAAGTCTGAGGTGGATGAAGGCTAGCTCCCACTCTACAATCTTGCTGCAAAGAAAACAAGTTCCAGACCAGATTCTGGCATACTTAACATTTATTAAACAAATATTCACTAGCAAGCAAGCACAGAGCAGTTCACACAAATCATTCTAGAAGGTCCATTAGTTGTTTCAATCACAGATTGTAAAAAAAGATTCACTGGGGCACCTAGGTGGCTCAGTTGGTTGAGTATCCAACTTTTGATTTTGGCTCCAGTCATGATCCCAGGGCTGTGGAATTGAGCCCACATGGTTGTATCCATTTCTCCTAGTGCTCAGACTTTCTAAAGAATGAACTGTAAGTATGAAGTAATAAAGGAAACGCAAACAGCATACTATTATGTGGAAAAATTCTTGGATTCAACAAGAATCTAGAAAGAGAATAAAGCAAAATAACTTCACAGTGCAATGATACATCTATTAGACTAGCAACCATAACTCAAATTTGAAAAGCCAGTGCTGGCAGCCTGGGAGGAAATGTTTCGCTACACTTTATTTTATTTTATTGTTTTTAAAGATTTTATTTTAAAGTAACCTCTACATGCAACATGGGGCTCAAACTTCCAACCTCAAGATCAAGAGTTGAATGCTCTACCAACTGAGCCAGCCAGGCGCCCATGGTTCACTCTAGATACTTTTGGTGGTACTACAAATGGGCTCAAGCTTTTTGGTGAACACTCTGGTCTTGCATAATAAGGACTAAGAAAATTCTCACACCTTTGGGTCCAATGAGTCACCTGGAGTTACATACTTTAAGGAAATAACTTAAAGAAAACTAACTTTCTATACTATTTATATCAATGACAACCAGGGCATATCTCAAATTCCCTAAACAGGATGAAGACCAAGCTAATCATGAATCACTGTGTACATCAAGACAAAGACATATTATGAAGTCACTTAAAATGACAAGCATATAGCCTATTCCAATAAATGGAGGTATACACTCAGTTTTAGCAACAGTGCTTTTTTTTTTTTAAGTTGGCTTATTTATTTTGAGAGAGAGAGGGTGTGGAGCAGAAAGAGAGGAGGAGAGAGAATCCCAAGCAGACTTTGCACCATCAGCACAGAGCCCAATATGGGGCTCAAACTCATGAACCATAAGATCATCATGACTTGAGCTGAAATCAAGAATAGGACACTTAACTGACTGAGCCACCTAGGCACCCCAGAAACAGTGTTTATAATTGAGAACAAAAGCTCTGAAATCATATATTTCTTGGTTTGAATTGTGGCACTGTCCTCTGTACACTTTCAAGAAATGTTTCTCTTCTAAAAATGGATTTGGACCATGCAGGACCTGAAAATGGTTACTTGCTCTTGAGGAAATATGTGTATTCTCATTGGTGTGGAAAAGGCAGACAGTCAGAGGGCAAGTTCTTGCATCAGGATGCTTGAGTTCATATCTCAGCACTGTCACTTGCTGGCCATGTCACCTTAGGCAAGTAACTATGCCGGCCAATATTCCAGCTGCAATTCATGGATGTATTATGGCTAATAATAGACTAATACATGGCTAACACTATGACCTACATCAAAAGTTCTTATGAGGTTGAAATGAAATGATGCCTGCAGAGTGCTCAGTATAGTGTCAGACATAGTAAGTTCTCAGTAAATGTCAGCAATCTGTATTCTTCAATTAATATTTATTGATCACTCACCATGGTCCCAGGATTGCATTACGTACACCCACAACGTTTAATTCCTACAAGAACTTTACATGATGAGTGCTGTTATACAGAAAAGTTTTTTAAAAATGAGCTTAGAGAGGGGTCTATGAATATTAGATGAGAGAAGGAAAATGCAAGATGGTTGGTAGATTCCAACTACACACACATAAAATGAAATACACTTAAACATTTGCAATGTTATGCATAATTAGAACTTAATGGTCACTACGCCCATTTTGTTTAAAGTTAGTCAAGTTTCTTTGTTTGTGTTTTCAACTAGAAGCAAGTACATGTGAAACAGGGACCCGGTCCCATTGCCTTTATTGAGCCATGCCCTTCATTTCCCCAGGCAGTGACTGGGCCATGTATTAAATGTCACTTGAGTGTTGGCTTCTGACCAGCAAGTGCTTACCTGGAGGAGATAGAGGAGTCCTGGAACAAACAAGGTGAGTGGGTACAGAGACTGGTATGTTGCTAAGGCAAGAAAAATAGCACTGAGGAAGGCACTACCTGTAAAAGGAAAAAAAAAAAGAAAGAAAAAAGAAAGAAATAATCCAGCTTTATCAATCAGGATTAGACTCAGCAAGTCCCAAAAGCAAGAAACTTTCTGTAACTGGTCAAATAAGCTCTTGTCAAATATCTCCTGGTGCACAAGGTGCTATGCAAACTCACAGATTGATTTCCCATGAAAGGAAACCTAAGAACTCAAAACCATTTACCTTTAGCAACCTGAGACCCCTCAAGTATGTTTCCTGTAAAATTTTCAGACTGAATAAAGGGATCAAGTCTATTAATATCTATGTCCAATTTAACTTATCAACTAAGTCCACAATTATTGCTTAAGCAATTCAGAGCTATGAAACCTATCTCTATTTTACAATACCCTTTCCTTATGGACTATCTTCAGGTCATGTGTTTACCATTAAAGTATATTAATTTTTATTAATAATTTCCCCATTTCCTACATAAAATGGCCCACTATGGAATTATTAAACATGATGTTACAACAAATTTGCAATGACATGGAAAGATATTTATAACATCCTATTAATTGAAAGTTATAAAAGAGATACACACTATGATCTCATTTAAAAGAAAACATGCAGGGTATGCCTGAGTGGCTCAGTCAGTTACGTGCCTGACCCTTGATTTTGACTCAGGTCATGATCTCTCAATTCATGGGTTCAAGCCCTGTGTCAGGCTCTGCATGAATAGCACGGGGCCTGCGTGGGATTCTCTCTCTCCCTCTCTCTCTGCCCCTCCCTTGTATGCACTCTCTCTCTCAAAATAAATAAATAAACTTAAAAAAAAAAAAACACATGCATAAGTAAATTAAAAAAAAAAAAAAAAAGACTAAAAGACGAGGCCCAAAGTTCACAGTGGTTTTTTTTCTCAGTGGTTGGATTACTAATTTTTTTTTGATTTTTGCTTCTCTGTATTTTCTAAGTGTTCTTTTTTTGAAATTTTTTTAATGTTTCATTTATTTTTGAGAGATAGAGACAGAACATGAGTGGGGGAGGGGCAGAGAGAGAGGGAGACACAGAATCTGTAAGCACAGAGCCCAACGTGGGGCTCAAACCCGTGAACTGTGAGATCATGAGCTGAGCCATAGTTGGACACTTAACCGACTGAGCCACCCAGGCATCCCTCTCAGTCTTCTATAATGAACATCCTTTAGGGGCGCCTGGGTGGCGCAGTCGGTTAAGCGTCCGACTTCAGCCAGGTCACGATCTCGCGGTCCGGGAGTTCGAGCCCCGCGTCAGGCTCTGGGCTGATGGCTCAGAGCCTGGAGCCTGTTTCCGATTCTGTGTCTCCCTCTCTCTCTGCCCCTCCCCCGTTCATGCTCTGTCTCTCTCTGTCCCAAAAATAAATAAACGTTGAAAAAAAAAAATTTCTTTATAATGAACATCCTTTGTTTATGTCATAAGAAAAAACTGATTTCTTTTTTAAAAAACCAAATAGCTATTCTTTTTCAGATGTTTTAGACAACACAGTACCCTAAAACCAAAGCTAGAGAACACAAATTAGCAACAGAGGTTTCAGAGTGGCCCAGAAATCAGTAGAGTGATTGACAGTTCAAGGCTGTTATCTTGTGATGATAATGTTTCATAACTGACAGGTCTTGTGGTCACTCTCATTAGTGTGGGTCAACTGTTTACCGGAAATAAGATATCCTCTCAATGGTGTTTCATTAAAGGAGTAACCAGTAACTCCACTCAGGAGTTTTACCCTCTCCCAACCCAGCTCCAGAAACAAACAGAAGGACATGATCCATAGGATTTTTTGCCCACCAAAGTAGTCTATTTCCTTGATCTAAGAGCCACCTTGGAAGAGGAGGGTTACAAATGTGACTACTTTACAGGACAGTGAGTAGAGAGAAGAGAACTCTGAGGGCTTCATACCTCAAACCAAAGAAACTCATCAGCTAGGAACAATTCCTGGTTGAAAGAAAGTGGAAGGAAGGCAGAAAAAGGAGGAAGCTGGAAATAAAAGACCAACGACAGAATTCTAAGGGCTGGGCTGTTTTGCATTGCTGATCAGTGCCAGGTATGATGTCCTGTGTCCAGGGTGCTTGTAAACATGACTGAGCAGGGACAGGATCATGCCCAGCCAAGCTGTGCCACCAGCAGAGGCCCCCACATTCCCGCTGAGCCACAGACACCTAGAACCAGAACCAGGTCAATTCTGAGATAGGGAGATGGCAGTGGTGGAGAAGGGGCTGTTCTGGAGTCTGACAGCTAAGCTGGGCTCAAGATTCCCTGACTTGGCCAAAATCTGAATGACATTGTGTGGAAAACCAGCTAAGGGAGGAAAAAAAAATGGAAAGAACTTTTAAATTTAACATGACTTTCTATAGAGACTGGGGTGCAAGAGAAACAGGCTCTTACCAGAGGAGGGAGGCTAATGCTCCAACTCCATCCATTCTTATAAAAGTGGTGAAAACAAACATGTGACTTTCACCCCTCTCTCTCCCAGAAGACACCAGGGAGTGAAATAAACACAGTCACCTCCTGTCCTAATTGCCTGAGCTCAGTAATTACTTGTCTGGAGCAGCTGACTATCTATAAGGGCCAATAGAGAAGAAAGCGCTCATAGCATTATAGAATGGACTCATGAGTTTCAGAGACTTGCTCCCTGGATTGGGAAGAAGCACTCTTCCTTCCTTAGACGAAATCAATAGTCAGGAAAAATCTGTTCCTTCTGCTATTCTCTACCAGTGAGTGGCAGCAACATCTCCTTGCTTACTGCAGTGACCCTTCACCCCTCCACGCCCACACTCCTTCTACCAGTCATGTCCTGTTGATCGACCCCTGGAACATCCACCACTGCAGTTCCTGCTCTCATCATCTGTTGCCACACGTTCTCAGCAGCCTCTTCCTTCTCCCCAGTGGTCTCCCCAATCTCCTCCCATGTAATCCTCCAGAGAAGTACCAGAAGGATCCTTCTAAAACAGATTAGATTGTGACAGGCCTCTCTTTAAACATTTCTGATGATTCTGTTTCATCTACTGGATTAAGTCCAAACTCCAACGGCAAACAAGGCCCTTCACTATCTGGGTCTTATTTTATTTCTCCAGCTTTACCACCTCTCACTGTTCTCCTACACCCACCCCATCCTCCAGCTACTCTGGACCATTCCCTAATTTCTGAAACACCATGCCTTTTCATTCCTGTGTCTGTTCTCAGCCTATTCCTTCTGCCCAAGCTATCCTTCCCTGCCCTCCTTCTAGTGCAGACCCATTCCCAGTGGACAATTAAAATGTCACTTTCTCTAATGAGGCCTAAGCAGAGATGATAACAATAGTGATTACAGCTAACAGTGGTCACTTACTAGGTGTCAGGCACCTCTCCTCTGTATTCAGAACAGTGTTGAACTCAAACAACAACAACAACAACAACAACAACAACAACAACAACATAAAAGCCTTCAGTAAACATCACAATAACCTTGTGAAAGCTCTGTTTTCACAGGTAAAGAAATCAAGATACAGAAACAGAAGGTTAAGTAACATTATCATTTTAAGTAACAAAACCACTCAGATGATTCCAGTGTCCATTCTCTAAATTCATTCAATACCCTCATTCAATACTGATACCGTCTTTATAATAATTTGCTAATGTTGTTCTCTCTCCCCATTTGTCTATGAGTTTCTCAAGGGCAATAAACCCCTCTTCACTTTGAATCTCCAACACCTAGCACAGTGCCTGGCACACCTGATGAATGAATGAATGAGTATCATTCAGTGACACATATGAATCCCTTTGAAAATCCAAGCACATTAAAGAAAACCAATGTTTCTTTTTTATTGAGATATAACTGACATATAACATTGTATAAGTTTCAGGTGTACAGCATAATGATTTGATACTTGTATATATTGCTAAACGGAGCACCCCTATAAGTCTAGTTGAAACCAATGTTCTTGAGGAAGGAGAACTTAGGAAGTGTAAAACACAGGTAATGAAACATGGGCAAAGCACAAAAGAAATCTGACACTTGAAAACAACAGAGCCTACTGAATAGAAGTTGAGGACTTGGGGAAAGAGGCTGGGCACAGAGAATGCTCTCTGTGGAGTAAACTATTGGATGGTGGAGACCTGTGGTCCGGGGGCAGAAACATGGCATTACAACAGTCAGGAGCCTGATGTGTGGGATGCTGGGGCAGGTGTGGATGGGGCAAATACATAGTCTGAGCAAAAGTGAGGGGGAGTATGAAGACACACAAGAGACTCAGGACTGATGTGTTTTGAAAAAAGCTAGAAGGGGCATGGTGGGTGGATTAGGAAAGCAGAAGGATGATGATATGTACTTGGGGCAAGGTCAGGAAAGATGAAGAAAAGTAAAAGGTGGGGTGCCTGGCTGGCTCAGTCAGTAGAGCATACATTTTTTTTTTTTAAAGCTCATTTATTTATTTTGAGAGAGAGGGAGAGAATGAGCAGGGGAGGG